TTGTTTGGTATTTTTTGGTACCAGGGATTGAACTCGGGTCCTTGCGCTTGCAAGGCAGGCCACTGAACCTCTGAGCTAAATCCCCAGCCCTGATTGTCTCTTTTTTTTAAAGAGCAGTTGTTTCTAAAAAGATTGACTAAGGATCCAGCAAAGAAAGTAGGTAGCACCGAGGAAAGTCCTCAGAATGTATGAAATAGGAAAGGCTGAAAGTATGTTGTTGTTGTTTGCCAGAGTTTAATTCCTGTATGTTTAGGACTCATTGTGCTTTCTGTTTATTCATACATCAGAGAGATGGAAAGAAGATGATTAATGGTTGTAAACATTAATGCCTGTCAGATGGTAGGCAGGAAAGCTTACTTCACATGTTGAGCGAAGTTAGTAGCCCTTCCATTGAACCCAACATTGTGTAAGGTACAGTAGCAGACTGATAATGATAACAAAGTCGTACTTAGGTGGTAATAGAAATCATAATAATTAAAACTCACATAGTGTTTTACTGTATTCTAACGCATTAGTCTAAAACTTTTACATGTATTAACTTGTAATTCCCCCATGGCCCTCTGAGATAGATACTACTTTTCTTCCATAATTCATTTAATTTCCATCACAGCCCTATAAAGTAGATCCTATTAGGCCTATTTAACAGATGAAGAAACAAGGTTAAGTAATGTGCCCAAACCAAGATCATACAACCAGTAAGTGATGGCACTGGGGTTTAAATTCAGGTACCCTGGCTCTGGAATTCATGTTCCTAACCACTGTGGTAGGCTGAATAATGGTCCTCAAATATACATAGCTCCAGCTCCCTAGAACCTGTGACTCTAGTCAGAAGGGACTTTGCAGATGTGACTGAGTTAAGGATCATGAGATGGAGATTTATCCTGGATTATCTGCTTGGGTCCTAAACATATGCACACGTCCATATAAAAAGGAGGCAGAGGAAGATTTGGCAGCAGAAGGCAGCACTGTGAGAGTGGAATCTGAGGAAGAAATTTGAACACATTATGCTCCTGGCTGTGAAGAAGGTGAAGAGACCCTGAGCCAAGGAACAAAGCTGTAGGAGCCAGAAAGGGCAAAGTGGGTTTTTTCTTGGAGCCACTGGGAGAGAAGGAGGGAGCAGAGTAGAGCCCTGCTGGCACCTTGGTATTGGTCCATACCGACTTTTCACCCTGCTGACTTCCAGAACTGTAAGGTAATATGCTGTTGATGTTTTAAGTACTGTATTTGTGGTAATTGTTGTGGCAGCTGTAGAAAATTAACGAAGCCACTCTGTTTTAGAGAAAGATACAAAGTTAAGACTTCCTGTTATAAGAAAACCTTCCTTAGAATTCACCAAGTAATGAACTTTAGTAATATCCTCTTCAATAGTCTCAGCTTTATGGCACTTGTTACTTTATTGACAGCAGCACAGTTTCTTAGTTTTTAAAATCCCTTTCTAAATAAAGCATCTGGTCCATATTCCAACAGCAGAAACTTATGAAATAGTAGGAGAAAACACAGTCCTTTTTCCTCAGGTCCAACCTGTAACAAGAAGCTGAAGAAACAAGCGTTTGGATGCCTACTGTGTGTTAGGTGCTAAGCTAGGAATTTTCATTTTTATTCAGTCCTCATATTTGACCCTTCTTCTAGGAGTAGTTATTAATACCTTTATCAGTGAGGAATGAGGCTCAGAAATGTTAGATAATGTGTTCAGGGTCAGAAAAGTAATAAATAAGATTAAAATTCAGGCTTGGGTAATGCCAAGGTACATATAATGCCCTGTACTCCCACTCTCCCCGGCACTGACTGTGCCAAGAAGTTTGGATTTAAGCCAGAGCATTTTCTGTGGCCTGCCCAGGAAGAGCGTTCTATCACCCGAGCACCCTGACCCAGTGCCCAGTGCAGGCTGGGCGGGTTCTTATGCTGTGGAAATCACATTCTTTCAGCATGACTCTAAAGATAGACTCAGTCTGTGTTCAGCTTTACTCTGTTCTTTCATGCAAGAATTCAGATCAAATCAACACAACCTTCAGAGCTACTTTAAAAACAGTTTGCATTTTTGTGCTCTTGCATTATATATGATTGTATCTTACACTATTTGTATTTTTAACTTCCTATTAAAAAATACAAATAGTAGTGTAAGATTAAACTACCTCCTGTGTAACAGTAGACAAAAGATCCAAAGTTAGCCAGGCATGGTGGCACACATCTGTAATCCCAGCACTCGCGAGGCTGAGGCAGGAGGATCGCTGTGAGTTTGGGACCAGCCTGGGCTACATAGTGAGTTCCAGGTCAGTCTCAAATACATAGTGAGACCCTGTCTCAAAAAACCAAAACAAAGGACCGAAGTTTACCCCTTGGACAATGGTCTTTGATTACAATAGGACTGAAAGGATCACAGTTGTTTTTAAGAACCATTTTGGTCCAGAATGAGAGGTATTTATTTCCTCCTTTTTATCTTCCTCCCTGTCTTTCATTTCCTTCTGTCTTTTCTAGTTATTTCCTTCCTTTTCTTTCCTCTTCACAAGAAATTTGTCTCTTCTTTTTTTTTTTGGTACTGGGGATTGCAGTAGGGTCCTTGCTCTTGCAAGGCAGGCCACCGAACTGCTGAGCTAAATCCCCGGCTTCACAAGAAATTTGTAATTTACTGCTTTATAAAAATGCCTTCTTGGGCCAGGGATTTAGCTCAGTGGTGCTGCCGCCTGCCTCACAAGTGCAAGGACCGGAGTTCGATCCCTGGTACCAAAAATAAAAAATTAAATAAAAATGCCTTCTTAGAAAATGAATAACTTTCAGATACACCTGTGAGGATAGACTGGAGCAATCTGCTTTTACTTTCCTAACATTTTCCGAAAGTGATTATCTATTACAGGTGTCAGATGTGGAAGGGATGCCCTGCTTAAAAAGTTGATCTAGGAAAGCTTTGATTTAGACAAGTGGTTATAGTGACTGAATGCTTTTACCTCTATAGATCAGAGATTGGAAAATATTTCCTGCAAAGGGTCACACAATAAATATTCTAGGCCGTGCAGGCTGCAAGGTCTTTGTCACTATTTCTAAATTCTGTCATTTATTAAAGCAACCAGTTAACATTATTCTAGTTGACAATGTCCAGGTTTGAGTAAACCTTCATTTATACACAGCAAAATGGAATTTCGTATAATTTTCACATGTGATGTAATATAGTTCTTTTTTCTTCCAGCCATTTAAAAATACAAAGATCATTCTTTGGTCTCTGTACAGAAAGAAGTGCAGTGCATATTTGGTCATAGACAGTAGTTTGCTGACTGTGTGTTAGATGGCCTATTGTGTGCTGATGAGTCTGTTCCTGTATCTACATTGCCATTTTCAGTCTGATTACATCTGTATTTGTGTTACATTATTAATCGATTTAAAATCCAGATCTCTGGAGTATTATAATTTAAAAGACTTTGGCAGAGATTCTACCTGACATAAAGACTTATACTGCAGATGATGTAGTTAGTTGTTTACCTAATAATCATCATTCCCCACCTTCTTTGTAAGCAGAATTCCTTGTTCAGTTTCCTGATGGCGGTGGTGATACATCAGGGAATATTGCTTTCTTTTTTTTTTTTTTTTTTTTCATTTTTGGTACCGGGATCAAACTCGGGTCCTTGTGCTTGCAAGGCAGGCAGCAGAACCACTGAGCTAAATTCCCGGCTGCTTTCTTATTCTTCTCAGGTAAAAATAAATAAAAATTTAAATGAACAAAATAAAGATATTTTATCTTTTTTTGTGTGTATGTGATTTTTTTAAAGACAGAATATGCCCATATATTTGGGCTGGTCTTGAACACACTGTATGGCCCAGGCTGGCCTCAAACTCAGTTATCCTCCTGCCTCAGCCTTCCAAGTGCTGGCATTACAGGCATGTGTCATCATGGCTAGCTAAGATATTTTATGTTTTTGACATGTTGCAGGTTTGATTTCCTAATGTTGTATTAGAGGTATGTGTGTATTTTTCTTAACTGAATCTTTATGTTTAAAGGACACCCGCTATGCATTGGGTCATCTCTTTTAAAACACAGGAGACACTGTTGGTGGTTACAGCCAGGAGAGGTCTGGGGAATGGTTTCTGCTAGCACCCTGTAGGTACAGAGCTGAGACACTGGCAGCGTCTGACAGCACACATTACATAGGACCCAGGTGACAGGGTATTAGTAATGGCCAGGGTCCAGAAACCCTGATTTGTATAATTCTATTTCATTTGGTTTGGTATCTGTAATTCCTGAGTACTTTGTTGTTTTCTTTCAGGTTTATAATATGCCTGTAGCAGTTTAACTTCTCATACTTAGCCTTCAGGTGGTATTGTTCTTTTCCATATATAAAGCCTTGTAACAGGCTTCATTTTTCCCTCCTGCCACTGTGGAAGGGTAATATGTTTACTTTTGCATGTGTTATAGTCCTTACAGCTCTTACTTATTTTAAATCATATTGAACAGTTGAATTTCTTTACATTTGTGTGTGTGTGTGTGTGTGTGTGTGCATGTTGTTGTTGTTGTTTTGGTACCAGGGATCAAACTCAGGACCTTGAGCTTGCGAGGCAGGCGGCAGCACTAGTGAGCTAAATTCCCGGCCCTTGCTTTTGCTTTTAATGGCTTTATTTTGAAACATGCATCACATTGCACATTTGAGGTATACACTCTGATATATATATACACACACATTTGAAGCCATCACCTTAAGCACAATAATGACCTTATTCATCAGTCCCAAAACTTTTCTCCTGTGCCTTAGTAATTTCTCTCCCAAACTCAGGGAGCCAGTGATATACTTTCTTTGTCTACAGATAACTTCTTTCCAGAATTTTTATATAAATAGAATCAGAGACTATATCCTGGTTTTTTTCCTGACCTTTTTTTTTCCAGCATAGTTATTCTGTGATATATCCATGTTGTTATGTATCATTAGAAGACATTCCTGAAGACCAGTGTGCTAAATAGGTTACTACTGTCAAACAGCATGCTGAATTCTAGTCATATGATCTGTTTTTTCTTTTAGGTCATGATTGTCCAGGGAATGATAATCACATGAGAGCACTTATTGGTACAGATGCCACTCTGCTTATCCAAGAAAATCTGTCTAAAAATATCCATATGATCACTTTCATCTCTTTATCAAATGACTTGATGGATTCCCTTTATTCTGATTCATACCAAAGCCATCCTCAACCAAAGCAAGAAAGGATCCCGAATGAATCGGTCCCAGAATGCCATTTTTACATCACCAAGAGGTGAAGAAAACCTCATGAACAGCAATCACAGAGACTTGGAGAGCATCACTGGTGAGTCCATTTTGATAATTTGACATGCTATTTCTTGTAAAGCAAGGTCTCTGATGTGCTGTGAAAAACCAAGCCTCCCTTCTCCACTTGGGATCCTCAAAGACAGATTGAATTAATTTCTCCACCCTGGCCTCCTTTCCCATGATCAGCATCTGCTTTGTGGGCCCTGCCTTGTCTGTGTTTGACTCCTGTGTACTTGCTAAGTCCCTGGTGAGTAGGAACTGCGTCACTTGCACCTTCTTACCCCCAGAGAACCAGGACAGAGTTATCTGTGTTTGTGTGCCCTCCAGACCTAACAACAGTGGCTGGCACACGAGAGGCTCTCAGGATTTGTGGGGTACACACATGGGTGCAGGGCCTTCCTGCTTTATCTTCAAGGCTGAGTCAGAAGAACACAGAACACAAAACTCATTTGCTTCTAAGACCTGACTTACATGGCTTTTTGTAGACTTACCTCACTAAGTAAGAATATTTGTGTTTGCCGAGTATGTATTAATATGTTAAATACGGGATGCTGCTGCAAAACTAGTTAGGGATACGCTATACCGTGGTTAATGCACATACTGCTTTTATAAACATCCAGAAAATTCTGAATTCTCAACCCTATCCAGACTCCAAAAGTTGTAACTGCTTTAAAAAATAATTATAATTAAATAAATTATGAGACCAAAAAGCTTACATTACCCACATATTTACCATTTCTATCGATTTTATTTCTTTTTGAAAATTGAAATTTCTATCTGGTATTCTTTTTGCCTAAAGAGCTTTAACATTCCTGGTAATACAGGTGAAGTGTCAATGGATGGTCAGTTTTTTATTTCACTGAAGATAAAAATCTCTTCAACCTTTCTGAAAGGTGTCTTCATTGGTACAGAATTCTAAGTTGATCCTTTTCTTCTGTGCTCTTTAATAATGATGTTCTGCTGTCATCTACCTTGTGTCCAGTGGATAGTTTCAATTCATTTTTTGTAACTTTCATGTATCTTTTTTCCCCATTTCTTTGCTCTTAAGATTTTTTTCTTTTTTTCTAGTTTTTAGCAATTTTGCTTTAATATGGTTTTCTTTGTGCTTTTCTTATTTGAAATTGTTGAGTATCTTTGCTATGAGTCTGTGGTTTTAATTAAATTTGGCAGATTTGGCCATTATTTCTTCAGATATTTTTTCTGATCTCACTTCTCTCCTGTTCTTCTGTAACTTTGTGTCTTAAATTGTTGGTCACTGAGGTGAGTTTTCATTTCTCTGTCCCCAACCCTTTTTACCCTTTGCTTCATCATTTCCATTGCTGTACTTTCAAGCCTGCTGAAATTTTCTCTGGAGAATGCCTAGTCTGCTAATCTTAACCCAGAGAATTTTCACTTTTTCAGAAGTACACCAGTTCCATCTAGGTTTTATAAATGCCTCATATATCATCTATTTTTTTCTTCACTACATTCATATTTTCCTTTTAAATCTTTGAGCATACTAATTGTAAGATGTTTTAAAATTGCTAATTCTAGGGCTGGGGATTTTAGCTCAGTAGTTTCATCACCTACCTCACAAGCGCAAGGACCTGAATTCGATACCTAGTACCCCAAAAAATAAAATAAAATAAAACTGCTAGTTCTGTTATCTTTGTCATTACTGAATCTTTTTCTCTTGACTTTCCTCTTGATCATGGATTTCAAATTGCATATTCTTTACATATCTAATAATTTCTCAGGATGCTGAACATTGTGACCATTACATTGTTAGGTATTTAGATTTTTATTGCCTTCATTGGAAGAGTGTCAAAATTTGTTTTGGCAGATTTACTGACAAGGTTTATCTTTTTGAGGTCTGTTTTAATCTTTGTTGTGTGGGTCAAGGCCCCACACTGGTATTCTTTTTTAAAATTTATTTATTTATTCATTCATTTACACATAACTGAAAGTGACGTTATAGTACATAAGTGATTTACAACTGTGCCACACTGGCATTCTTTATTCTAGCATTAATTTAATCCCACTGCCAGTAGACATAGCCCTTGTGCAGTCTTTACTCATTGTTCAAATATTCAGTAGGTTTTTTTTTTTCCTATTCTGGCAAGATTAAATTTAGATCTGTTACCTATCTGTGGGAGAGTGATGTGCTACTGTGAAGGATGATTTGATTGTGATGAGGGCAGACCAGTTTTGAGGCCATATCCAAGAGGAAAAAAAGGACATTCTGAATCTAAAATGGAGACAGTGTCATTGGGAAGAAGTGAGAATATGGGAGAGACACTTGGAGGGTAAAATGGTAGAGAGGAGGTTGTCGAGCATGGACAAACAAGCATAATAAATAGTACACCAGAAATATGGAAGCAGGAAGAAGGAGCTAGTCTGAAGAACTTTAGTTCAGTCTACTAAATTTGGTTTGTAAATTCATTTTTAAATTGCTTTTTTGAAAGTAAGAAATTTATGACCTTGAGTTTTCACAGGATTTCATTAACACTTAAAGAAAACTTCTCTTTTAACCCAACATCACCTTTGCTTTTCATTTCCATTATACTCTTTAATATTGAATAGTTTGTGTTTTCACTTCTATGTATTTTATATTTATAGTCTCCCTCTCTTCCTGTAAGTATAATGACAACCTGTATATATGTGTGTGTGTGTGTGTGTGTGTGTGTGTGTGTGTGTGTGTGTGTGTGTGCGTGTGTGTGTGTGTGTGTGTGTGTGTGTGTGTGTGTGTGTGTGTGTGCGTGTGTGTGTGTGTGGCAAGAAAAATTTGCATAATCTCTTGGACTCTGTAGTAATAAAATTTGAATGTATTTTCAGGGCTGTTATTTAAGAGATTTGTCAAGGATTGAGAGCTTCTTCAGAGCCATAACTAAAATTTATTTCTGCATTCTGAAGCCGCTGCTTCTCTGGATGAATAGGGATATCTGACACCACTTGCCTCTCTGTCCTTGTCTTATTAAATTGTTATTAATAAGTTAATGTCAGATAGTAGACATTTATCCTTTTAAAATTTGTTTTCTTTGCCAGAGTTAGAGCATTTTTTTTAACTCCTCAGAAAGGAAATACTACATCTCTCAAAAGTGAGAGGGTAGATAATTACATCCTGTGTTTTTTCTATTTTAAGTCCTAGTATTTTAAGTATGTTAGAAGAGATAATCCCCCCTTTTATTTATTTATTTTAATTTTTAATTTTTATTTTGGTATGAGGGTTGATCTCAGGACCTTGCGTTTACGAGGCATGTGGTAGAATGACTCAGCTAAATCCCCGGCCCAAATTCCCTCTTTTAAATGGCTAAGTTTGGGAGGTGTTCAATGATGGGCAGTACTGGAAACAGGATACCAGGAGTAGACCCATCAAGAAGAAATCCCAGCAGCGTGCAGCGACAGTGTGCTAGTGAGGAAGCGGTGATGCGAACAGCCTTCGGGGAGCCCCTACTGTGTTAGCAACTTCAGTTGTTTGTAACTTACTTCTAATTCCTACTGTGTGTGGTAGATAATTTCTTTTTATTTTACAAAATGGAAATGAAGACTTAGAATAGTCATGTATCTAACATCCACAACTAATAAGTGGAGAAGTAAATTTAGAAACTGGGTCTGATTACAAAGCCCCGAGTTCTTTCTGACATTAATGAAAAATAGGGCAATAAATAAAGCAGGTTCAGCCATTGCTCCAGCTCCAGGAAGGTAGCCGTGTGGGCACCCCTGAACTCCCATAACTCCCCTTACACCACCCCCCACATACTCTCAGACCTCCTGATTGTGCCAGTCTTTGGACCCACTCTGCAGAGGCAGAGATGGTCATAAAGGGTATTTTTCTGAGTTCCCAACTTTGAACATCTTTAAAGAAAGGGCGTGGGAAACCTGTAGTAGAACGGTGTGGAGTTCAACCATTCAGAAGGTTGGAGAACTCAATCTGGGCCTTGCAGCCTGAGGTCAGTCTGCGTCATGGGGTTCAGCCATCAGCAAACTGAGATCAGGGGTCTTGAGTCCTAGCTCTGTCTGAGCCCTCATCCTAAAGGGTAATTATACTATAATGAAAAGTTTGTTCACTGCAGACATGTTCTGGACTGCTTCTTGATTTCAATTTAATTCAAATGGTTTAAGGATGATAGACTAGTGACTACCACAGGTGGTCAGGTTCCAAGTTGTGCTTGATCATAATGTGTTGCTAATTGTATCAGTTGGGATAAAGGATTGTGGTTGATCTGATGAGCTGTTTTCTCTGGTGTTATGAAGATGAGAATGTCTGTGGGTCGTTAGAGACCCAGAAGCTAGGGTGCAACTATATTAGGAAAATTTGGGTGATAACCCAGAGATTAAACCAAGAACAGCCTGACAACAAAAATAAAAATGAGAAAACACTTAAGCAAGACACAAAGACAGACTTCCAGTTCACTAATGGCAAACAGTAGGGCAAATGAGGATGAAAAGGCCGATAGTGAACCACCAGGACACCCTGAACTCAAAGCACAGAAAGTAACAAAACAGATCAATCAGGCTCTAGAAAAATTCAAAACAGAGATACTTTCCCAGATAACCATAGAGATGGTGAGCAAAATGAAAGTTCCGATTCAAGACTCTAGAGCAGAAACTGACAGAAAAATAGATGAGCTCAGGACCACGATAGAAGCCATGAAGGCCCAGCATAAGAAAGAAATGGAAAAAATAAACACCCAACATAGGAAAGAAATGGAATCCATAAAACAGATTCAAGCAGATATCCAGGAGATTAAACACTCCATAGAAAGTGTACTCAACAGAATAAAGGAATGCGAAGATAGAATCTCAGATATGGAAGATAAGATTGCAGTTCAGTGACCATGAAAAGAGAGGTCTCTTAAAAACAGTAGGGGATCATGAGAAATCGATCCAACAAATCCTAGATGATGCAAAGAAGAATAACATAAGATTGATAGGAATCCATGAAGTAGCAGGAGAAAATACAAATGACTTAAAAAAGCTGTTCACAGAATTAATGACAGAAACCTTCCCAAACAGAGGGGAAGAATTTGACATTCAGATAACTGAGGCATATAGGACCCCAACTAGCCACAATAAAAAAAAATCTACACCTAGACGTATAATAATCAAGATCCCAGAAACCCAACAGAAGAACAAAATACTACAAGCAGTAAGAGAAAAGAAACAAATCACCTGCAAAGGAAAGCCCATCAGAATCACAGCAGACTTTTCAACACAAACCCTTAGGGTAAGGAGAGCCTGGAGTGAGATATTTCAAGTACTAAAAGAGAACAACCTCCAACCTAGACTGATGTATCCAGCAAAACTCTCTTTCAAAATGGATGGGGAAATAAGATACTTCCATGACAAAGAACACCTGAGAAACTGCATGAATACCAGACCAGCACTACAAGCAATTCTAAACAAGATCCTAGAAAATGACAAGGAAGGCAACAACACCATGAGGCCCAACAGAGCAAATCAAATAGGCAAGGCAAGAAACTAAAAGGAGAAGGTGAAAAAATAAAAAGGGTCAGCACAAGGCCAGTAACATGACAATAATAAGTCAGTACATATCAGTTATAACCATCAATGTCAATGGCCTCAACTCACCAATCAAGAGAAATAGACTGGCAGAATGGAATAAGAAGCAAAATCCAACAATATGTTGTATACAAGAAACACACCTAGTGCAAAAAGAAGCCCATAGACTTCAGTGAAAGGAGGGAAAACAATTCTCCATGTGACAGGAGCCCAGAAAAAAGCAGGGTTAGCAACCTTATTTGCAGACAAAGCAAATTTCAAAACAAAACTGATTCTAGTATTATAGATGTAGGACGGTGCTGTATCATACCTCTGTGAATGTAAAATATCTTGTACCTGATTTATGATAAGTAGTAGTGACCGTGCTTTATCAGAACTATTTTTAAAGATATTACTCTAGAATGTTCTCTTTCCAGATGATGATTAAGATGCTAATTAAAAAAAAATGGTGCCAGGTACCACACAGCAACAGAAGAACTTTGTTGTTATCTGGATATTATTCTTTTCTTTGTTGTTTTTGTTTTTTTTAATGGAATGTGCTGAATGTCTATAATTTTGTTCAGGTGACTGCAGAACCTGGCAAAGCTGTTGCTGCTATTGATGCATAACATACTGCTATTATTGGTCTTTTTATATAAATATAAATATATATATACATATATATATAAAATTTGAATTTTTGGAAACTTAACTGTGCTGTCAACTTTGGAAAAGTTATCCCAATTTACTGTGTTGAGTTGGCATTGTACAGAAAGGACAGCCATATTGGTCTAGAAATGTTAATTTTTTCCCATTTGTACAGGGGTAATGCACTGTATTAAATATGTAAGGTCATATCTACATGTGTTTGATTACAGAAACTAATAAAGTATTCTCTAAATAATGAAAAAAAGAATAAGATAAGACTACAAGAGCAATAAGCAACTTAAATATGTTAAGGGACCATTTTCATCTTCAGAATTAAGGATTATTTTAATCTTACATTATTGCCTTTTCTCTTTTACTTTCCTTTTTAGTTTTATTTTAGGGTTCGCTATTTTTAATGTCCATACAGAGATTTCTTTAACTGAAATACCGAATAGTTTCTCTGGTGTGAAACACTATCATAGTACACAGGATCCTAATGAGATAATTAATAATGTGAAATAGGAAGTAAAGGGCTAAAGGTGTAGGGAAAGTGGGAAGGGTGGGGGAAAGGTAATAAGGGAGAGGAAAAAATATGAGAAATTTAAAAAATGGAAATAAAGTGTTTGTAAATGGGGAGGTGAGGAGAGGGTGAAGGGAGGGCAGGGACAAGGGGAGAAAGTGAGAATCAAGACCTATTATGTAAAGTTACAGGATCCCAATAATAAACGTAACTGTATTGTATACCTAGATTGTACCAATAAACTCAATAAAAAGAAAAAAAAATAAAGCAGTTTCCTGGAGGAATTAGCAGATTATAAGACTAATACAGTCTGGTAAAGGAATGATGTGTGGGAATTTTACCTACAACAAGTGGTCAGCCTCTGTCCCGTGAGGAAATTGGAGACAGCAGTAAGGGGAGCCTGTTCATGGGTGGGCACAGTACTGGATAGGAAATCTCACAAGCCCAGTGCTCCTCAGTAAGCCAATCTGCTACATGACTCAGTTTCCTGAGCTAAGTGACAGGATGGGTGGTTTCTGACGTGTCTGTCAGTGCGTATTCTGTAATTATGCAGGTCCTCCAGCAATCTTAGACTTGATTTGATCACTAAGTCTAAAAGCTCACCAGTAAAACAGTAATGAGGATAACTAACATTTAGCAAGTGCTCCATGGCATGCCAGGCATTGTTCCTAATTACGAGTATTTTTCGTGCTTATCTTACTTAATTCACACAGCCACCATAGAGATAAGTACACAATGCCGTCAAAGCCATTTTACAAATGAGAAGCTGGGCTCAGGAGGTCTGTAACCCACCCAGTATCGCATTGTTTTGTGCAGAGCCAGGACTCGTGCCCAGGACAGTCGCCTGTATCCTGGGAAATATATATCTGAAGGCAAGTGAAGATTGTTAGGAGGAAGCCATGTTTTTTCTCCTTTAAATATCCTTCACATTTACTTAAGCCTTTAACTATACCACACTTTAAAATAAAAATTCTCGAAAAAAAAGAAAATAAAAATTTTCAAGTACTTATGCAAGTGCTTTGTAGACATTAATTTTTTTTTAATTTCTAGCTGTTGGGGGAATTTAGCTTAGTGGTGCTGCTGCCTGCCTCGCAAGCACTAGGTCCTGAGTTCGATCCCCAGTACCAAAAATATTTCTAGCTATTGTTAGAGAATAATAAAACATAGCTTTACAAATTTTGAAAAAAAATGCTTCCACGAAGTTCAGATTTTATTATTAAAGAACATCGAATTTTGGCCTTTTTGAATTGCCTGTTTTCTGCTGGTTGGTTTGTGTTGCTCCTCCTCAATCCCCTGCCCAAGAGGTAAGTGGAGATTAGACCCCTTTAAAAACATTGATACAAAAGAGATAAGAAATTGGCTCCAATTCATATTAAACTTTAAAAACATAGTTATATTCACTGAGCAATATACTTTTGATAGTGTGTAATTAAATTTTGTGGCTTCATTATTACTTTAGAAGTTCTCTTTTTAAAGAAATCCAGAGAAAGACCAAAAATAGTAAGTCAGTGGAAGAATAATCTCATCTAATGTTTCTCTGGTCTCCTGCCTTCAAAGCTCCAATTTCCCTGGTGAGCTGAAACATGCTGGATTCATTTACATGAGCTCTCCCCCCAGATGTCTGCTCCGATGGGGACCTCCCTGAAGTCGAGCTGGTGAACCTGCTAGAGGAGCAGCTGCCTCAGTACAAGCTGAGGGTGGACTCACTCCTCCTGTACAAGAACCAGGACTGGGCGCAGTCGCCGCTCCAGCCGCAGCATGTGTCTGATACCCTCTCGCCAGTCCTTGCTGAAGAGACTTTCCGATACATGAGTGAGTGTTTTTACCCTGTTAGAGCGCATGTGCGGAAATAAGATCATGGGTTTCATGGAAATGACTTTGAAACGTTTGACACTTGGCAGTTGTTTGGTGCTTGCCTGCTTCGATGCTGTAGCTGGCTTCACAGGGAGAGACCCTGATGTCTATTATAGGCAGATGGTCATCCCTGCAGCTCTGAGTGACAGGGTTGCAAGCACATGTGGATGTTTCCATTTCTTCCATCTTTTAGTAGATATCTTCTTCAAGTTGAGGAGAAAAAAAACTTTTAAAAATTAGTGAATTATATGAAATTTTACTATCCTTGTATAGCTGTCAACATTTGTAATTCCAATGGTTTGCTACCCTTTTTGCCATTTATTTTCCCTTAGTCAACATAGTCACACAAATTACATCCTTACAGAGCAGAGTTCTTAGATTCAGTGGTTTTAATTATGTCAAGGAGAAATACATAAGGATTCAGAGAGAATGTTTCAGTGAGAGACTGAGCTGGATTATCCTGAAAGCAGATTTGTGTTGACACCAAACTGTTAGAAATGAAAGAATTAGAGCTAAACTTTGAAATATGGAGACCTGTTTCCACTTTATTCTCCAGTCAAAGTTCTGCATTAAGGCTGAACTTGCTTTGTTTTTCTTTTTTTGACTGCAGTATAAAAATGTATGCATAGTACCTATTAGAATATATACAAAATCTTTAAGTTCAACAATGGTGTATTTGTGAAATTCATTTAATTTGAAATAAATATGTGATTGTATCAGGTCCTTAACATTTTCCCAGTGATGTTTCGGTGCTTTTAATCCACATTGTTGCTGCCTAATGATTATTGTGCAATACTGATGTTTATAGTAATCATTACCTTGCTCTTAGAGGTAGTTTCCTAGAACCAGGCACTCTTAGAACTCACGTACTTCTTACAGTTTTCTCTCTTGCTTGCTCTTTTGTTTTTTGGTTTTTTGAGATCGGGTCTTGCTGTGTAACTCAGGCTGGCCTTGAATTCACATCAGTCCTGCCTCAGCCTCCCGTGTGCTGGGAATACACATGTGCACTGTCATGCCTGGCCCTTTCAGTTGGAGCCTCTCGCATGAATAACGAGGGGGAGTTTTCTGAAGTTACCTGAACCGGAAAGTGATTATTTTCTTAGAGCACTGGAGAGCAGTGCCTGCTACATACACTCAGGAAGCTTAAGATGCTCAAGAAATGTCTTATGTGTAGAACAGATTATCCGGGGTTTTCCTCATTTTACTGCAGTAAGGCAAGCCCCACTATAAGTGATAGATTGAACTGTGCCATCCAAACACACCGGACAGCAAGTACCATCTGTTGGTGAAGAGGTTAGAAATAGACTCATGGATTTTATTTGGAAATAAAGGGTTACCAGCACCACTCGCTGAGGCATAAGCAAAAGAGGAAGGGAGAATGATTGATTACACAAGTTTTATTTCAGGCAGTCAAAAAATGAGGGCCCACCACCAGTAAGTATCACATGGGAACTTGTTAGGCAAATTCTTGGATGCTCCAGGGCTAGGACCCCACAGGCTTAACTAAAATGTTTTCCTGGTGATGCTCATGTGCACTCGTGTTTGAGAACCACTGACAGGAAATGTGGTAAACCAAAGTGAGTGGCCATTTCACAGAGACATTAATTGAAGAATAAGGAATTATGAAAGGTGTACAGTTTTACAGATAAATATTCTTATGGGATTTATTGCCTCTCATTGGTACATATACTTTTCTCATATTCTGCCCTCAGAAATCATTAGCTTATACTGGTATGAAAAGAAATACTACTGATAATCTTCAGAAAGTGTTAATTGTCACCCAGGTCCTCAAGGCTAGCAGATTTATAATCCCTCTAGGTCAGCCCACTCAGAGTTAAGCATGTGCCCCAGTGCTTTCCTCCGGAGTTTTGGGAAAATTGACCCTCAAATCATTGTCTGCAGTGCGTAATTCTCCTAGGAGGCCCTGTTGAGAAAGGCAGCCGGTTGATGTCCATTTTCTCCCTTGTACTGTCTCCATTCTTCAGAAGACAGTTTTCTGCATTGCAGAATCATCTTCTGTATTACAACAGGAAGAGCTGCGTTCACTTCTTCAGATTAAAACGACTCAACCTACCTGTCGTTATCAGGAGCTATTGCAGATTTCACCGCACGTATTGGCAGTGTTTGTGTTTTCTTTTACTTTTTGTTGTCAAAATGACCAAATGGGTAGGTTTGGGCTACTATGGGAAGGTTGGAGAGTAGTGAAAGATTAGAATTCTTTTTAAAATTCAGAAATTGTGGTATCTTGGAAAGGAACATGTGAAGGAACTATCATGTACCAGCTCTTGTAAAACGACAGGCAGCAGAATGAAGTGACATTGGTTTTCCTGGACATAGTGTGAGAAATTAGGCATGGATAGAACATAAAGACCAGGAAAGTGCTTGTTTGCCACATAGCTCCTTTTTCAGAAATGTTAGATTCTCCAAGTATTTCCATAAAAAACAGTGGATGTTAGTGAATAACCTTCAGAAATCAAGTAGCAAATTTTTGTGTGATAATATATATTTTAAATAAATTTTCAAGGGGCACACTGTTCTGTAAAAATGTTTATCATTTCCCTGATGTATTAATGCAATTTTTAGAGTTAGAAAAGTTTATATGTGGAAATAGAAAAGGTCATTGCTTATTTCTGTACCATTTAACATATCGTTAATGACTGAAAACTGTTAGATTTTGATAGAACTGATTGTAATAAAGACAGCCTGCTGGCCAGTCCTGGTCTATGGCTTCTGCAGCATTTAATTACTGTGCTCAGTGCCAGGAGGGCTGTGAGATTTGCACAGCACTTCTGGAGTCATCAGGCAGTGTCTTTATGGAGACATGTGTTAGGGAGAGAGCACCAATAAGCTTGCAGGGAGGAAGCCTTCAGTTTTGCAGTGGCCTAGTCTTGGGGGCTTGGTTTTTTTTTTTTTTTTTTTTTTTTTTTTGGTACCAGGGATTGAACTCGGGTCCTTGCGCTTGCAAGGCAGGCCACCTAACCGCTGAGCTAAATCCCCGGCCGGGGCTTGGTTTTATATAGGCTGTTTCACATAAAACATAAGAATCAGAGAATTGTGGTTGCACTAACTTTTTTGTCATAATAAATATTTAAATAACAAATTTCATTTTTGTATTTTGAAGCCTTTTAACAAGAGTTCTTCTTGTTTTGTTTTTATGATTGCAGAAACATTTTTTCTTCATAGAAAATTAACCAAAAAAAACTAAAATAAAACAACCTGAAAAGAGAGCAACAGATCAACCATAATTCCTGTCCAGAGATAACCACTACTAATATTTTAAAGCCAGACACAGAAGTACACACTTGTAATCCTAGCAGTTTGGGAGGCTAACTAAGGCAGGAAGATAGCAACTTCAAGTTCCATCCGAGGGCATTTGGTAAGACCCTCTCTCAGAATAAAAATTAAAAAGGGCTGGAAGTCTAGCTCAGCGGTAGAGTGGCATGGGTCCTTAGTACCACCAAAAAAAGAAAAACCCATACTAATGTATATCCTTCCACTGTAATCCCAGCACTCGGAAGTCTGAGGCAGGAGATCACCATGAGTTTAAGGCCAGCCTAAACTACATAGCAAGACCCTGTCTCAAAAAAAAGCAAAATTGAGATCTGTGCTGTCTTATTACATATGTTAATGGATGTATTACACTCTGGTGTTTCATTGGATGAGGGCTTTTTGATCATAGGGTGGCTGTGATAGAAACAGCAGCATGGTGGGAAGAAATGTAGCTTTTCTGATGGTGGTGAGTTGAACATTATCGCCTGCATATTAAAATCCTGACCGCCACTTGTGCCTTGCTTTGTGATCTGAGATATTTCACATAATTCCTCTCAGAGAAGAGCCCCGTGAAAACATGAGATCATTGAACGAGGTAACTTAAATTCTCATACTATGACAAGTGAGCATTAACAATAAGAGACACTTTCATTTTTCCTCTTTATTTATGTACTGTATCGGTGTCCTTTTTCTTCCCCTTTCTTCACGTGTGATTTATGGTTGCAGTTGTTACATGCTCAGCTTACCTGACTCTCACTGATCGACCACGTAAGCCAATGCCATGTACTTTTAAAGTAGTTATCTGAACACTTTTTATCTGAGTCTCCAGGGTTCCTGGTTCTCACTTTGGGTCTTTTAGCCCTAGGTTGGTGGCTCTATCCTGGCTGCACGTCATAACACCTGGGAATCTGCTGGTTACCCAGGTCCCGAGGCTCCAGATCAATTAAATCGGAATCTGGAGTTGAGCACCTCTGCTCCATGGTACTTTTGGTTTTGCAGCAACTAGCTGGATTTCTGTAATTAGTTTAGCACACAGGTGTATTGCTTTGATTTTCCCCTAATTTGTTACTGAAATAGAAGTGGAAGAAAGCAAGGATTGTAAGTACCTGCCTTAATTTGTAATCCTTGTTCTTGCTGTGTTACCCAGTTTGTCTGTACCTTATGTTCAGACACCTCTTTTAGCACCATGGTTAGATAAAACCACTTTCTCTGCTTATGAACATGAATTCTTTTGGAGTAACAATATTTAAGCTTTAAGTTCTCTATCTTCAGCTTAAGCCTTTATCTCACTTCCTACCATTAAGCCTATAGTTTTTGTCATTGTTATCTTTCATTTCTTACAAATATTTTAAATCATCCATTATTTCTGAGGCCTATAAATAATTGTTTTTAACTGTTTTAGTTCTAGGCACAGACAGAGTGGAGCAGATGACCAAAACATACAATGACATCGACATGGTTACACATCTCCTTGCAGAGGTAGGAAGACATCTTTTCTTTCTCTACAACAAAAAGCTAAAGCTTGGGGATCATTTGGAAATTATCAAACTGTTTATCAGATGAAAGATGACATGTGGTATTGGGGTTATTTTGTGTAAAGTGGTTACTGCAGGAACAACTGGCAAACCAACTGGCTTTCCAGGGTAGATGGTTCCTGAGGTTTATGGTGAAGTTGTAGATGATAGGAAGATTAATATCATAGTAGCTGACTTAAAAAATAAATGGTTTTTAAGTTGTCCTTGCTGTTACTTACTCATCCTGGTGTAGAGCTGCCTGTTCACGACCAGTACCTGGGGGTGGGAGCATCTCCCGTGTTCACTCTTAGTGTGGGCTCTTGAAGCTCACCCTGGCCATGGAGCTTTTAATACAGAGAGTGGTAAAACTGGTAATCTGGGTGTTCTCCTCTGTACTCAGTTCCATTTGATTTTGTGGAGACTTTCTCCATGGTGTGCACTTCTGTCCTCTCCTCCCACCTCCCCAGAATGACTTCCATGTGTGCCACTTGGCTAAAAGAGATACATGGCCTTGCAATGAAGAGATAATCCATCCATTTTCATGTGCCGTGGAGAGGAAGCAAAGAAGCTTAATTTTATTCATTAAGTGACTAATGTAAGCAGAACCCACATTCATCTTTAAAGCAGAGGTGTAGACGGTTTTCCATCCTATAAATAAAATCATGATTACTGTCAAGCACATGGGGTTCTAGGCCCTTGCCAAGTGTCCACCTGCCCAGAACGAGTAACAGAGTAGACACGGTTGGCCCTTCCTGCAGGCCTCCTTGCATCACAACAATATTGTAGCTCCTTCTCTGTAGTCTAAGCCAAATCCTTTGGCCTTAGACTATCCAGGCTTTTACTCCTATTTTATTTCACACTCTCATTCTTGTACCAGTTATCAGCAGAGCTCTTGGCTGTGTTGTCCTCTAAGTCAGAGGCTCGGACCATGCGAGCATGCTCTACATGGAACCATTTTCAGCATACTCATCTGGTTCCTGTGTCATAAGACCTTATCCTATATTGTTACCATGCTCCCTGCACGGTTGCTCGCAACGTATTTTGGTGCTTTTACTGTACAGGGTGTGTGTGTGTGTGTGTGTGTGTATTTCTGAGTGTCTGTGTATGTAAGCTGGAGATTAAATCCAAGGCCTCCAGCATACTAAGTGCTTCTGCCACTGAACTATACCCCCAACACTTCACCCTACTCAAAGTCTATGTTGACTTCCTTTTTCTTTTTTCTTTTCTTTTTTTTTTTTTTCTTATATTGATCTCCTAAAGTTATGTAAGTCTAAAGATTAAACTGTTAGGTCCTAATGACTAAGATAATCATTACCATCTCACTTGATATCAAGAAAAAAGATTCAGGGCCAGGGATTTAACTCAGTGGTTCTGCTGCCTGCCTCACAGGCGCAAGGTCCCAAGTTCGATCCCCAGTACCAAAAGTTTTTTTTTAATTGTTAAAAACAAAAGAGATTCCTTCTTGTGTTAATAACCATAACATTTGTTAAACTTGTGTGCCTGGCCATATTCATTTGTTGTGTCTGGATTTTAAAATGAATTTTGATGCTTTCTAGGACATTACTTTTGAAAAAGTGTATTGAGATTGACTGCAGAATTTCTAAATTGCCATCTAATTTTGTCTGTACCTAAGAAAAAGGTGTGTTTGGTATTTTAACAGAGGGATCGTGACCTGGAGCTAGCCGCTCGAATTGGACAAGCGCTCTTAAAGCGGAATCATGTCTTATCCGAGCAGAATGAAGCGCTGGAAGAGCAGCTGGGGCAAGCCTGCGATCGCGTAAGCTTGGGTGTGGTGTGTTAACATGAGACGATGCGATCTCACACAGTGGAGGAAGGTGTTTCCCACAGGCACCCCGAAACGATGAGAGCAGGTCAGTGACACGGGTACCTGTTCAGTTGTTCACAGCCTCCGAGCTAAACAGTAGAGAGTGAAATGCTGTTGTGCAGAAGAGTACTTGGGTACCCTGCTCGCGTCAGTTCGAAGCCCTTCGGTGTCACAGTGCCTGTGGCATGCTGCTTCGAGTCCTGGACTATCCCCATGCCTTTGTATGTATCCTTTGTCTGTGATCTGATTTTGAATTTATTTTATTTATTTATTTTTAATTACTTATTGACCAATTTATTTACTCTAGATTTTTGTGGTGCTGGGGATCAAACTTAGGACCTTGTGCTTGTGAAACAGGTGCAGCGCCACTGAGCTAAATCCCCAGCCCCTTTAAATTTGACTTTAAATTTACTTTTTAAAAAACAAGTATCCAATAAAGATAAAAGAAAGGGAAAAAAAGCGAAAAAGAAAAATAAGTCTCTTCAGAGATATGTGCTCGTATCTCACAAATATGTGTGCATTTCACATAGTCCATTTCCTAGCAAGGACCCAAACTCACCATCATTTTCTTCTGGTGACAGGAATGATAAAGGCTGTAACAAATATCTCCATTCTCTCTCTGTCACTCTAATTCAAAGTGCTCATTTGGCAATTAACCATGCAGCGATGGTGTTACACTGTGCATTTCTGTTTGTATTGTTATTTTAACTTTCATAATTAAAAACCTTCTGATATAAAAAAGAAAAATAAGTACCCAAATATAGGTATCTTTACTCAGAAACCACAATAAGAGGTAGGAAAAAAAGAAATATTTGAAAGTAATTTATTCCACATCAATAAATGCTTATAGTAAAATTATCTTATTAACTTGAACGGTTAAATTTCAAATAGTCTGAATTGCTATTTTTATCTGGTTTCAGTTATATTTAATGAATACAGTGTGGTTGATAGTATGTAGATCTTTACATTGAAAATATTTATCCCTAGAACTAAAATCAGTACTCTTAGGAAGACAGTTATATACAATTTAAAAGTATAAGCCCTGAGGATGAGAATTTGAAGTAGGGGTCTATTCTGATACTTTGAATGTTTTTCAGATTTGTCTTGTTTTTCATTTTGATTGTATCATTATTTTCTTCTGTACAAATTTCCTCCCATATTCCTGTTTATTATAGAGTATGAATACTATACTATAGAAAAATTTGTATTTTTTGAGTAATCTAAAACTTGAAGCATAGGAAGTATCTGGGATCAGTTTCTCTTCTTTTAGCACTTGTTCTTAAAAGCATTCAAATCTAGCAGCAGATTTTGTGATTTCTTTCTTCGTGGTGAAAACTCTTCTATAAATTAGAAGCTATTTTGTATGTAACTAGTGCAAAATGAAGAGCACATTTTAATTGAGCATTTCTTACGTCAGGTTAATCAGCTGCAGCATGAGCTGTCCAAGAAAGAGGAGTTGCTTCGAATCGTGTCCATTGCTTCTGAAGAGAGTGAAACTGATTCCAGCTGTTCTACACCTCTTCGGTTCAATGAGTCCTTTACCTTATCTCAGGGTTTACTGCAGTTGGATATGTTGCAAGAAAAGCTCAAGGAACTGGAAGAAGAGAATATGGCCCTTCGGTCCAAAGTACATTCAGTTCATTCTTTCCTTTACTTGAAAGGCTGTAAAACTCTGGTCCAGGTAGTTTTGAGATGAAATATAATAGCATTCCAGTTAGGAGTGGCAGACCAAGGATATTTGTACCTTCCGCTGTTACCTGGAGCTCACTGAAAGGTGGTAATATCAGATTGTCAGATAAAATAAGGATAGCTACAGTAGAGGATACATCTGTGGAGTCAACACAGATAACTAAATAACTGGGAGATGAGCTGTGTTGGAAAGTTACAAGGTTCTGTGAGCTTCGATAATAGGGTAAATCAAGAAAATCCCATTTAAACAAGGACACTTGGGCCAAAGCTACATACTCATCTGACAGACGTGCAGCTTACAGGGTGTGAGTGAGCACACAAGGCCCTGAGGAAAATGGGAGGTGCTTAGCACTTCCATTTCTATACCTTTATTTTGTGGTAGATAAAGTTTGACAAATGGTTGGGTTTTTTTTCTTTCATGAGTGATAAACTAATCTTCAAATGGCAAAGCTTTTTGTAGTTATTATTGTAAAACCATTAAATGATATCATCACATATAGACTTTTTTCTTGAAGGCTTGTCATATCAAGACAGAAACTTTTACCTATGAAGAGAAGGAACAACAGCTTGTCAGTGACTGTGTTAAAGAACTCTGTAAGTAAGAACACACTGTTTCACAGCCTTTAGGTGATTCTTTGGTAGAATATCACCAACTCAGGAATTAGAGCAGTGGCTTCCATAGAAGCATCTGAAGAAGCAGTTTAAAATTCTTAATGTCTTCTTCTGGTTTGTTTTGCTATAACAAAGTATTAAAGTCTTATAAGATATTGGGTGACTTATAGAGGGGATTATGTGGCTCAGAATTCTGGTGGCTGGAGGGTTCCCACAACATGTGCCTGTGTCCTAGCATCCATTTGTGCCTTCCAGAGACTGCACGTAACCCAGACACCTCCCACAAGGCCCCCCAAGAGGTCCAACCACCTACCACACTGAGCCACGCTTTCTTCCCCACAACTCTTAAGGGACAAGCCACACCCAAACACAGCAATTGTTGAAATCTCAGACCGTTACACTGAGCCCATACTCCCAATAAAACACTATAGGTATTTGTAAGAAATGTGTTTAATCGTCATCATTATTGAGTAAAAACCTGTATTTCTATAAATAAGCTATACCATGTCAGAAAGAAAGCACAGCTCACATTTTGTTGCGAGGATATCTTTCCATAGAAGGTAGGACTTGCCAAAGTCAGGAAACTAACTAGTGGCAGAGCCAGGGCCTAAAAGATGGCCTAAGATATGACATTCAATATGTGTTTACCATGTGCCAACAATGTGTCTTTAAAGGACTATATTTTCATTTGAGGCAGTGTTAACTAAGGTAATTTTTTGCTAGGCATAGTGGTGCACACTTGTAATCCCAGCACTTAGAAGGCTGAGACAGGAGGCTGGCCAGCCTGGGCTACCTAGTAAAAAACAACTAATATTTTAAAAATAAATCATGCAAGGGCCAGGGATTTATTTCAGTGGCACCATGCCTGCCTTGCAAGCATTAAGGTCCTGAGTTTGATCCCCGGTACTAAAAAAAAAGAAAAAAATCAAAAATAATTCATGGAAAAACAAGTGGTTTTACTAAAAAATATTTAGTTACTCTATAAATATAATCTTGTTTTTGTTTTTGTTTTGTTTTTTGAGACAGGGTCTCACTATGTAGTTCAGGCAGGCTTTGAACTCACTATGTAGCCTAGGCTGGCTTCGAACTCATGGTGATCCTCCTGCCTCTTGCTGGGATTACAGGTGTGTGCCACCACACCTGGCTATAAATATAGTCTTTTTATTGAAAGAGATACATGATCATGTCGTGTCAGTTCAGCTTGGCTGTAGGTCTCAAAATGCGATACCTTAGAGCAAGACTTAGAAAACCAGAAGGGATGTGATTCCTTCTTTTTCGTTACTATTACCCGACATTTTAAAAAACAAAGAAGTGACTTTCCCAAAACACTAAAATCCAAGACTCCTGCCATCCCTGAAATTCAAGAAGCTTCCTGTTAGTGAAGAAAGTTTTATGTGACATTGAGTAAGTTTTTCTGTTTGTGTTTAGATATCAGACTCTCTGTATGCAATCAAGTTTTTTATTTCCCCAGCGGGATCCTAAAGGTCCTACTTTATGTGCATGTAAAAAAGCACAGCCATAAGAGTTGCTCTTGAGGCCTGCTCAGTTGGTTGAGTGTCCTGGAGAAGCTGAGCTATGGAAGCGGCTCAGTAGCTTCGTCACCTGCTCTCGTAGATTGTGACTGTTCTCTTCTGAAGAGTCCCTTGTTAAATTTGTTATGATTAATTTTCACTGCTTGTAGTATTTTCTTTATGTCGTGGAGAGTTCTCAAAGATATGAGTAATATTAACTCTTCATACTTGAGAGAATTTGTAACTCCTTTCAGCCTTTTTGTCCTTCATAAAGAGAAAGATTGGAATAATCTTTCTCGTAAAGAAAATAAAACAAAACCTTTAGCCCTCTTGCCTTTGTGTGTCATTTCTCTTACTCGATTCCCAGCGTCAGGCTATCTCAGAAAAGTCTTTATTTTTCTAATTTATGTTGAAGAAAAATCTATTCATGATAGTGCAATGCTTGTTATAAGTCACAATTCAGCCTGCAGGCTCTCATCTGTCAACACCTGACCTACCTTTATATTAATTTTAAATTTTTATTTTTCTTGCAAGGTGAAACAAATGCTCAGATGTCCAGAATGACGGAAGAATTGTCAGGAAAGAGCGATGAACTGATGCGGTACCAGGAAGAGATCTCCTCCCTGCTATCTCAGATTGTGGATCTTCAGCACAGACTTAAAGAAGTGAGGTCACTCATTCGGCTGACAGTCGTTAAGCACTGTGCCCTTTTTAAATGCCTTAGGCTGATTGCTACTTTAGTCTTCTTTGCTAGAATGTCATGAATAACTGTTTTCTTTTTTTCGGTACCAGGGATCGAATCCGGGGCCTTGCGCTTGTGAGGCAGGCTGTGGCACCATTGCTAAATCCCTGGCCCTCTTGAATAACTATTTTTAAGTCCTTGTTTCTGTAAATGGAGTTAGATTTTTCTTGGAAAGATGTGGTGTAAATTATTCACTCATGCTCATTGTATTTTGAACACTTTGTAGATTTTATGTTCTTCCCACTTTATTGCCCTTAACTGGTTTTTGAAAGATAAGGCCTACAGCTGTGCCCCAGAGGGAAATTCTTAAGTTGGCTTTAAGAGGGGGAGAGTAAGGAAGGCCTCACGTGTCTCCTTTCATATGTTGTTAGCATGTAATTGAGAAGGAAGAGCTAAGACTTCACCTGCAAGCTTCCAAAGATGCCCAGCGTCAGCTGACGATGGAGGTAAAAACTCTTCCTCTATTTTTTGTGATTCAGGAGGGTAGGAATGAGGAGCTTCCATTGTCTTTGTGAATAAGAATTAAAGGGGAATTACTAACTATAAAAACAACCACAACAATAAAAGATTAAGGTGAAATTATAAGATCTAAGAAGGAAATCCTTTAAGAAAATCCTATTTCTAAAACCAGTAATGGCAATGTCATTGATTTTGGAAAACCTTGATTTTCATAAGATTCTTTAGGTGTACAGGACGCATTTTATCAGTCTACCTTGACTAGCTCATTAGTTTTTAAAGTGGGATGATTTCTAATAGTTTTTGCAAGTATGTCAAGAAAAATAACAAAAATCTTTTAGTTTCTGTGTATATACATATTTTTTATATTAGATATAGTTCATGGTGGTGTAGCATCACGATCACCTTGGAAATGTTTTAAATGGAGATTTCCAGAACTCCTTCACCAAGAATTTCTAATTTATTGGCTCTAGAGCGAAGGCTCATGTGTACTTTTTGGGGGAGTGGGTGATGAGACAGGGTCTCAATATGTAGTTCAGGCTGTCCTTGAACTCACTGTGTATCCCAGGCTGGCCTCAAACTTGTAGCAGTCCTCCTGCCTCTGCCTCCCAAGTGCTGGGATTATAGGTATGTGCCCCTGTGTACAATTTAGAATGTACAATTTTAATAAAATACTCAACTCTGGTGATTCCAATAAGCAGGTGCCCATACTACACTTGAAGAAATTTTTCAGTTGAAAATTATATATTCATTTATGAGACTTGTGTATCTAGCTGTAAAAGAAGGTTCTGAATGCCAAAAGGAAGAAAATTCCTTCCTTAGAATGGTTCAGTACCTGACATCATACGTAGAGTCTATCTTGTCATTTACAGACTTCAGAGAGATGTTAAAGGAAAGATTAGTACCATGCCAAACTTATCTTGACTATAGCTGTTACACTTCTGTTTAAGATGGGGATTTTTTGTTTCGTTTTTGGTACCGAGGATCAAACTTGGGACTTTGCGCTTTTGATGCAGGTGGCGGAACCACTGAGCTAAAGTCCCGGCCCGCTGTTTAAGTTTTTGGGGTATGAAGCATTCAGTATTGAAGCAACAGTTCTTATTATCTTGGCTATGTTTCAGGTTTTGGGGAGTCCTGCTTTTGTATATTTATGGCCAAGCCACCCCTAGTCTTGGCAGTTTTAAATAATATATTCTCTTTGTATAGTTTGCTTCAGAGTCTTCCTATGTAAATGGTATTCACAAAGTCAGCTAGTCCCTTGGATGAGGTTATGTGTTTCTTTTGTTTTGTGAGAGAGATAAAGTACACTACTACCCTTTCTTTCAGCTGCATGAGTTACAAGACAGAAACATGGAGTGTCTGGGGATGTTACATGAATCCCAAGAAGAAATAAAGGAACTTCGTAGTAGATCTGGCCCTGCTGCTCATCTCTACTTCTGCCAGTCCTATGGACCTTTCACTGGGGTGAGGAACTGAGGAAGATGCAGTGTGTTTAAACAATCTTGTTAAGATTGTCCTGCTAGTGATATCGTTTATGATATCATAAAGTATCTCAAGAAGGCAGAATGTGATTTGTCCTTATTTTGTGTGTCTGCATCTTCCTTTGTTATTATTTATTCTAACAGATGACATTTTGGATGCCTTGTGGTAAGAGGAACAATCAGGAAGATAGGTTTAAATCTGTGTACCATAGAGCTCTAACCAAGGGTCCAACCCTAGGCCTCCCATCTGCCACTTGTTTAAACAGTTCTCAAAAACTGAAACCTATAACCTTTTTCAATAAATCTGGAGTTTCCTGGTATGTTTAATTCCAGTTAGAGTGTAAGCCCTCTGAGAATAGGAATTATGTTTAATTCATTAATTATAGTATTTTTTGAATGATAAACTTCTTAGTTTATGTTAGAATTTGTAATATTGGCTCAAAGAGTTATTTTTACAACCTGTTTCTTAAATATTTATGCACAATCCTGTAATGAATGGGCAGTTACTGGGAATCGAACTCAGGACCTCATGCTTGCTGGGCCACCAGTCTTCCCTTGAAATTTTTTAAAGGGCCAGAACTATAAATGTTAATACATTTCCTTAAGACTACAGGGGCAGCAGTTTTGTTTTCTAATTTTTTATTTTGAAATAATTTTTAACTTAGAATAAATTTCTAAAAATAATGCAAAGAACTCTCATATACCATTCACCTAGATGTCTCAGTCTAGTGCATGTTTATTAAACACAAGGGCAGTCTGGAGGTTGCTCCACTCCAGCGTGATCCCAGTCCAGCTCTCACCACCAGGAGGTGGGCTTGATACAGTGTTTTCATTTAATCCACATGGCCTTCAGATTCTCAGTAGTATCCTCAACACATTTCATTTAGTTGTTTCAACCCAGGTGCTTCTTTTTATGTTTTTCATGGCCTTTATAGAATGTTCTCCTTTAGATTTGTCTGATTAAATTTAGATAATGCATTTCTGGCACAAATAATTATATTCAGTGCCTTATATCAGTAAGCGTATGATGTCTGTTTATTCCATCATTGGTGATGTTAATTAACTTTTGAGAAGTTTTATTTGTTTTGCGGTACCAGGGATCAAGCTCAGGACCCTGCACTTGCCAGCCAGGCAGCGCACCACTGAGCTACATCCCCAGCAATGTTAATTAACTTTGATCTGGATCCTGCTGGGTTTTTTCACTGTAAAGTTAGTAATAATAGTTAACTAATTTACGAGTTCATTGAACAGCGATGAAAATCTGCAGATACTACTTAACTAACTGATCAAAGTTAATGTTTTATAGACAGATACTTTGAAACTAAATATCCTGTTCCTCATCAAACTTTTGTCCACTAATTTTGTTCCCATTGATAGTTCTAATCTGTTATTATTGTGACCATTGCCAAATGACAATTTCAAATTCCATCATTTTTCAACATTTATTAATGCCATTCTTTTGTAAGACCTCTTGTGTCACATTTATTCATTGCTCATTTAGTTATATCAGTGTGACTAATGGGTTTCTGTATTATTCAGTAGATCATAAACCATTGTTATTACTTGATACTCAAATGCCCCAGATGTGGCCAGCCGGATCTCCTCCAAGCTCATCTTGCACTTCCTGTCTCGGCCTTGGAATCAGCCATTTATCCCCAGCCCTTTGGTGACACTTTTTGAGGAATATGTTCTGAATCCCAGACCTGGGTGGTAGATGTGTGTAGCCATTGCCACTAGAGTTCCATTTCTTCCCTCTCAGTGGTCGAAACTGGGAAACTTATCTGTGTATTTCATACATTTCAGCCTCACTGTGCAGATGTCTCTTTCCACTCTATGTCTTAAAAATCATAAGCTGATGCCAGTGCCCCAAATCCTGTCATTCTCAATTCAGCCCCACTGTGCGTGTCACATGCACCAGCTGAATCTTCATCTCTGAGTAGGGGAGAAAGAAACTTGCATATTTTAAATTTGTTTTCCTAATATAAAAACTATACATGTTTGCTGTAGATAAATTAGAGATGTTCTTTTTTTTTGGCACTGGGGATTGAACTCGGGCCCTTGCACTTGTGAGGTAGGCAGTGGAACCACTGAGCTAAATCCCTGGCCCCTAAGTAAATTAGAAATTACAGAAAAGCAAAAAGAATCACAAAATCACAATTAGTACTTGGTTTGTGGCCTTCCTGCCCTTTTATTTTTGTGCATCTGTACACAAGCTATTTTCTATTTACCATACTGGTTTTTCCATTGCATTCTTTTAAAAATATTTCATGAAAGGATAGTTGGTTCTTCCTTAAAAGTTAATTTCTACAGTGTCTTCTTTATTCCCTGAATTAACCCATGACTGTGTGTGTATGTTTTATTATAACACACAAAATACTATAGGCTTGTAGAGACTCTGTTAATCAATCTAAGAGCAGTAATCACTTTAGGAATCTCAAACTTTTTTTTTTAGGAATCTTTGGCAGCTGAGATTGAGGGAACCATGCGTAAAAAGTTGATTTTGGATGAGGAATCTTCTTTCTTTAAACAAAAGTAAGTACAGGTCACATTTTTGTTATCCACTGAAAGAGTCCACAGCGTGGGGAGTACAGCTCAGTGCAGAGCACTTCCTCATGTGTGCAAGGCCCTAGGTTTGATCAGCAACAGCAGCATTCACATAAAAAGAAGCCACACTCCAAAGTGGTGTTATGAAATTCAGTAGTAAATTTGCTCACTATTCAATATTTCCCTCACGCTGTCCTCACAGCAGAGTTCTCTTATTCTGAAGTTTACTTTCTACAAAACTGCACACGCCTGATTTATCTAAAGCACCCTAGTAGTGAGTAGTGATGATAATGAATGTTTCCTTTTTTGACAGAGCCCAGCAGAAACGGGTATTTGATACTGTCAAGGTTGCCAATGACACACGGGGCCGCTCTGTCCCTCTTCCAGCTCTGCTACCCATCCCAGGGTCCAGCCATTCCAGTGTCATCATGACAACAAAGCCTTTTGAGTCTGGTGTACAGCAGACAGAGGACAGAACACTGCTGGGCCAGGGGAGCAACTCCAAGGAGGTTCCAGAGTAAGAAGCACATTGCGGCAAGGATTGTGCCTTTCTTTGGCATTGATCTGTGAGGGTCATGTGCTCAAATTCCAGCATTTCTCTCTGTTGTCCCATGAAGTTCTGGAACTATCAGTTTTCATTCAGTTTTAGTACCCTGCATCATTATTTGTAGGATACATCATTGATTTCATAAAATTTATTGGAATACAAAGACTTGAAAGTATTCAAAACAGAGCTTGCATTTAATTTCAGCATTCTTTACTGATGTAGTGTTGCAAAGTATGTGTACAGCCTCATGTTCTAAGTACAAGTTGTTTGAATTGATTTGGTCATTAGCATAATTGCATTGGTGACATTTATCTCCTAACCAATGTTCATAATCAAACACTTTGGTGATTTGGGGATTCGTACTAAGTTAAGTATATACTGCCAAGTACAGTTACCTCTTAATTTCTTATTTGTTTGTATTTAGACTTTTTTTCTTTTCATTAATTCATTTCATTGAATTCCATAAACTAGAAGTAAAACCACTTTACTGGAAAGTTAGTCAAAAGCCTTTGTAGATGTCAGCATCTTGGGGAAGTCTCTTCCTGATACAGAAATCCATCTGTGAGGTCTCGATGCATTATCTGCTCTGTCCTGAGCATAGTGCTGAAACCCGGGAGCCTTATGTGTCAGACAGGCCACACTGTCACACCGCTTTTAGGAGAGCCCTGAAACAGACCTAAGGGAAACACAGTGGCCAAGAGCAGCTACAGCCCTTCCTCCAGTGTCAGTTGTAAAAGGCTTTCCTAGTTTCAAATGTTGAAATGTGAAGAACTATGCACCAGAAGACTATGAAAATATAGTATTTTACAAATGTTCTTTTTGAAACTTTCTGCAGTATTTGTGGGGAATTCAGTGGCCCAAAGCAAAATTTTTCAGCGTACTATTTTTCAATTGTTTTGCAACTGATGATGTATAATAGTTTATTGGGAAGCATTTTCTCTTTCTTCATAAAATGCATAAAATAATGGTACCTCTTCCAATCAATGATAGATTCAGTGAAATATGAGAATATTTACTTTTATGATTACCTAATCTAAATATATCAGTGGGCATATATGTAGTTTCATAAATTTTAAATGAAATAGGGAAAAGTTAGCAAACACAGCATAACAATAAAATATAGTTTGCCTCCCTGAAGTCATTTGAAATGATCTGTAAAAATTATTTGTCTGCAGTTCCAGCACCTGGGAGGCTGTGGGCAATACAGTGACTTAGTGAGACCCTATCTCAGAAAAAAAATACAAAGTGCTAGGGATGTAGCTCAGTGCATTGTCCCTGAGTTTAACCACCAGTCCTGGGGGAAAAAAAAGATCCATAGTATGCCAGTGATCGGGTTTGTAGTTATTATTTCTGTATTCCAGATAGCTAAGAAAATGCTTCATTTTAAGACTGGCCTCTCAAATGTTCACCACACAGCAGGAAGGGTCTGGACTATGCCCCTGACCTTTGGATCTGATCAGTGCATATGGTTCTCCCGCAGCAGCTCCCAGCCAGGACCCTCTGCAGACAGTGACTTGGCTGTAGCACTGCATCGTCTCAGCCTGCGTCGGCAGAACTACCTCAGTGAGGAGCAGTTCTTTGCTGAAGAGTGGGGACGGAAGATCCAGGTGCTGGCGGACCAGAGAGAAGGGGTTAGTGGCTGTGACACCCCCCCGGAGAGCCTTGCCTCCCTGTGCACTGACCAGTTGGAGATCAGCAGCACCAGTTGCCTTCGAGGATTTTTGCCAGAAAAATTACAAATTGTCAAGCCCCTGGAAGGTAATAAGTCGCTAAGAACCCTTTCCAAGCCAAACAGTTTGCGGGACTTTCTTTTCCCCAGAATTGAGATCCATGTTGTGATAAGTATAGAAGATCCCCCTTGTTATCCTTAAATCCCACTGTTTGGACAGTCGTGCATTGAAGTACTTGGAAACTTTGCGAATGAAGAAGTCTACATTCTCTTAAGTCTTCAGCCCTCAGTTCACTGATACTTTTGATGTAAATGTGAGAGGGAAGAGGAATCTTATCTGTCCTTGGCTAAGGAATATCACCGATAACATTTTCCACGGTCAGATAAGTGGAGTGTGATAAATGGAACACATGTAGGGCTCATATTTCATATCCACCTTCCTCTGTAAACAACATTCTTAACCCAGCCTCTTGGCCACTGTCCTCGTCGCCGAGACATTACACCCGGCACCCGCAGCCTGGGGGAGAGGTTTATTTAAGCTCACGGTGTCACCAATCTCAGCCCCTGCATGGTTGGCCACCTCCAAGGCAGGAAGAACATGAAGGAAAGCTGCCCAAGTCGTGGGATTGGAAGCAGAGAAAGAACATGGGAGCCGGGGAAGGAGAGTCACTCTTCCAGGTCACACCCCTGGTGTGAAGTAACCAGGCCCCTCCTCCTGACAGCGCTTAGCTGCGGATCTCATTGGTGGATAACTCCAAGTTATCTCCTAGCCTAGCACACTGGCTTTTGACGTCAAGTTCATAGGCCTGGTTCCAGGCCAGGGAAGTATCGACGTTTGTCACCTGGGAAAGCACATCCTCCTCAGAGGTGCACACGGTCATGGTTTCAGCATCCTGGTCCCTATGCAGAGTGTCTTGGTTGTTTCTCCCCTTCCTTAGATGTCCCTTTTAAAGTTCCTTTCAGGAGAGAAAGATTATTCATATCTTCATCTTGTCAGTTTTCCACTGAGAACTTTCAATTTGCAAATTTTAACAAAATACCGCTTTTTATTCCCTTTTGGCTTCCGTATTCAGGATCACAAACTCTGCACCACTGGCAGCAGCTTGCTCAACCAAATTTGGGGACCATTCTTGACACACGACCAGGTGTCATTACGAAAGGCTTTACCCAGTTGCCCCAGGATACTGCCATCTATCACATCTCAGATTTAGAGGAGGATGAAGAGGAGGGCATCACTTTTCAAGTTCAGCAGCCTCTTCCGGTAGAGCAGAAACCTGATGTATCCAAGCCAGCTGTTGGGATTTTCCTGCCACACATCAGTTCAGCAGATGGACCTGTTACAGGTGAGAAGAGGGCTTGCTTGAGTACGACCTAGTAACTAAGAGCACTGCATGGTCAGCTTTGACACCTGCTCTGACCTCACTGGAGTGTGTGACATTAGGGGTATTATAGGATGTTGTTATTGTGTTGTAATATCTCACGTGATATTAATATTTATTGTTATTGTAATGAAAATCTACAGCATTGGCAACAACCCAGTTCTCTCCACTTCACCTTAGCCAGCCTGCATAAGTAGACTTGGCGGAGACAGAACAGTTTAGTCAGTGGTTAACAAACCTTTTGCTCTCAAGATCTTTCTATGAAAAAGTCTTTGAGAATTCTAGAGGGTTTATCTGTGGGTTTTATCTGCTGATATTTACTACATTAGAAATCAAAACTAAGGAATTATTAAAATATTTAAAAGTAAATACTTTAATAAAATTATAAGTAAATGCTACACAGATACTATGTTCTAAGAAAGTAGCTATTTTTTAAAAATAGTGAGCAAAGTAGCTTTGTTTTATGATTTTGCAAACTTGTCACTTCTGACTTAGAATATAACTAGATTGATAGATTCTCATAGGTTTCTATATTCAGTCTGCTGCAATATTATGATGTTTTGGCTGAACAGTATGAAGAAAATGCAGCCTCACACAACATAGCTAGAAAAGGAAAGAATATTTTGTTAGTCTTTTCAGGTATTTATGGATATTTGATACTAGGAGTACACCAAACCTTGGTAAGTGGTAATTTCTTGATGCACTATTGAAACCCTGTCAATGAATTTTCAGACTTTGTTACATTAAAATGCAGTGGCATACTCGAAGCTTTGAATGTATCTTTTACTCATACTTGGTTTGGTAATACACATTGGTCATTAAGAAAATACTAGCTTACTGAATTAGGCAGATCTTCCAAATGTTGACACATTTCTTTATGTGTAATTTATTAAAATCACATTAATATCACCATCTGTCTCACCATAAAAGTCTATTTGGAAGCTTTCAAGCTCTCAGTGGTGGATGCAAGTTTTCTGAAACCCTGATTTTCATTTGAAAACTCACATGTGTCATTGGCAAAAAGTAGCATTTTTTTTTTTTTTTTTTTTT